AAAATGCAGCTGCACAGGTCCTTATGGGGACTCCATGGAGGGCATATATCCATCCAGTGCTGCTCGAGCTGCCTTTGGAACCGCCTCCCCCGATATATCCCCCGAAGTGCATTGAGATCAGCAGATAAGAATCTCCTGGTGATTCCCGGCCCCAAAGATGTTCGTCTGGCCTCGGCCAGGGCCAGGGCTTTCTCAGCCCTGGTGGAACTCTCTGCTGGACGACACCCGTGCCCTGTCTGCTCTATTAAAGTTCCGCAGGGCATGCAAGGCAGAGATGTTCCGCCAGGCCTTTGGTTGAGGCCAGTGATGGTTCTCTTATATCTACCCGGCACCCTCCCGTCCTCTCCCCTCCCTGCAATGAAAATCTGAATGCTGGATATGCCATCTTGTTTTAAAGTGTTTAAATATTTATGCTGAATGTTTTAATATTGAAATTTTGTAGTTTTAAAAATTGTAGTGAATTTATGTTATTGTAAACTGCCCTGAGCCCCACGAAGGGCAGTTAAGAAATCTAAATAAATAAATAAATATGTGTGGAAGAGCCGCATGTGGCTCCTGCCTTTCTCACTGAGACTCCATGCGGATTGTATGGTATAAAACAATGCAGTCAGGATTCAGAAATTGCTAGTTGCATCTGTGTTAAACAGAAATGGAGAAATGAGTGTTCACAAACAAGACCCGCCATTTTATTGTTTTATTGCTGCTTTCAGCTTTTTCCTGGTGTTTTAAAAATATTTTATGGCCATGATTTTATGAATTGCATTTTTTTGATTTTTCTGGCTAGCCACCTTGGGAACTTGTTTGTTGGCACAGAACTAAATATAAACAAAGTACAACTAGAGCTCCCCTTAAATAATATGCAGCAGCTGGACAGACAATGCATAATTAACTCATGGCCACAGGATGGAGTGATGGCCACTGGCACAGGTGGCTTCAAAAGAGATTAGTCCGATTGATGGAGGTCAAGCAGTGGCTGTTATCCGTGATGCCTCCATGTTTACTGTACTTAAAAATTCCAGCTTTTTGTGTAGTCTTTTTGTCCTCTAATCTCCAGCCCTTCCTTTATCTATTGTAGCAGCTGCTGCCACATAGACCAGGTCTCTGTTCGGTCATACTTCAGTAGGGTGGCCAGATCACGGCTGACACTCAGTGGAATGGGGTGGCCCCATTATCACGACAGTGTGATGTCACTTCCAGGGAAGTGATGCCTTACTGCTCTAGGAATTGCTGGGAAACTGTAGTTTCCAGCTATTCCTAAATCAGATCCCAATAACGTCTGGGTTTTCCTGTCTTGCTGTCATGCCAGCTGAAGATTTTATTTATCAAGGCAGCTTTACAATACTAGTTAAAACATCCCCAGCTAAAACAAAGATAAAATAACAAACCCCCAAATCCTTCCCACTCCCCCCAGTTTGGTGTAGTGGTTAAGTGTGCAGATTTTGTTTATTTTTATTTTTTTATTTATCTTTGAATTTATACCCCGCGCTCCCCGAAGGCTCTGGGAGAACTGGGTTTGATTCCCCACTCCTCCACTTGCAGCTGCTGGCTGGCCTTGGGCAAGCCAAAGTTCTATCAGAGCTGTCCTTGAAAGAGCAGTTCCTGTCAGAGTTCTCTCAGCCCCACCTACCTCACAGGGTGTCTGCTGTCGGGAGGGGAAGGGAAAGGAGTTTGTAAGCTGCTCTGAGACTCTGAGTGAAGGGTGGGGTTTAAATCCATCCTCCTCCTCCTCTTCTCCTCCTCCTCGATATCTGCTAGTCAAACCCCTTAAAAGCCATGACAGACAAGCAGGCCTTGTAGTGGCTCCTGAAGATCTCCAAGAAGATCTGCAATTTTAAAATTAACTTTTCTTCTGCTGGCTGACACTGACAGTGGAAAATGTGGGTTGCTGGCAGGACATCTCTCACTGTAGCAGGAGACCTGGCAACACTGTACTACAGTTTCCAAGATTCTTGGGGCTTTGATCCTCTTTGCCCATATTAGTTTTGTCCTGCACCTATAGTGGAGGGATGAACCCTTGAGGAAGGCATACATCCCATGGCTAGACATCTGGAAGGTCCAGTTCAGTATAGCTCCTGAAAGAGGCAATGTCTCTAGATTCCAGACAAAGATGAGGGCTCATCTAGGCCCAGTGATCACTGCAAATCACTTTTAAATGGTTTGATGATTTTAAATTGTTAAATTATTTTTATTGTTTTATAATGCCTATGGCCTTGTTAGCCGCCCTGAGCCTGCCCTGGCAGGGAGGGCGGGGTATAAATCAAATAAAGAAATAAGACTGAAGTAGGTAGAATAAGCGGCACCAGGCCTCAAGAACAGTCAGAAAAATTGCTGTTAGTACAGTTTAAGTGTACTCTCTGTTTGTTATTCTAGACTGTGTTGTTAATATTATGTGAGGTCATTATGACACCAAACAGTGATGTACTTTTTGAGCAGCCATTTTGTGAATGGCCTCCATTAATTCCCAGGATCATGTAACAATAAACAGAAACAGAGCCTTCGACAGACAACTTTTCAAGTTCAGCTAAAATTGCCTAGTAAAGGAAGATGGATGGGCAAAGTACTCTATAGTATGAATCCTTACATTAGGTAATGTAATTTCCTTGTTATGTAATCAATTTAGCCTACAATCCTAAGGATATTTACCAGGATGTAAATCCTGTTAAACTTGGTGAGATATCTCTATCTGCTGATGGGCTATAGAAGTGGAAAGCACTAAAGAAATTGCAGAACTCCGTTTCAAACAAAGTCAATGCAAAGCCAAAAAAAGAGACCTTTTTATCATTTCCAAGTAACATCTGAAAAATGACCACCAGAAAATGAAAACTGTTTATGCTTCTAGGGTTTTTGTTGTTGTTGTTGTTGTTCTTAATTTCAGGTGACGCATAATCAGGAGAATGTATTTGACTTGCAATGGCTAGAGCTGCCAGATATGGCACCAGAAGAGCTAGAATCTCTCTCCAGAAATATGGTTTTCCACCTTAAGAGGTTGATTGATGAGAGGGATGAATGCACTGAGGTATGTATAATGTTGCTTAATTTGGTTTTCTTATAATATAGTTTATTTTTAAAGAGCATCATGACCTTTCCTGTTGTTTGCCCCATGATGGTTTTCTGTATCTGATTCGGTTTGGCAAGTGCTACATGAGAATTAGGGCTTCATTTCCCCCCTCCTCCATCTTAATATTGAACATTGACAGTGGTTCTACATGACATTATGCATGGCTTCCTAATAAAAACTGTGGCACAGGTACTAAAATATAACTGATTTTATTACGTTTTTAGACTTTGTTACGTTGAGGGGAGTAATTGGGATTTGATGTTTCAGTTCTGTATTGGAAGCCACCTTGAGCTATGCAGAAAGGTGGAATATAGATTTTTTTAAATATAAAATAAATAAGTTGTATTTTAGACATTGTGCAGGATCAGGCAATAAACTAAATTTGACAAAATTCTAGACTGTACCATTTTAGATTGTAGGTGGAAGATCTTCCTGTACTTAGCAGATTAGATCTTCCTGTATTTAGCAGATTAGATGTTAAACTAACTAGTTTCTGCTAGTTTATTGCATTCAAGGATCTTTTTTACATGGATGCACATTCCAAAATATCTTCCATCTGTGGTCTCTAACAGTCCAGTCCAGACCCACCTTCTCCTGTGCTGTGGCCAGACTTGCTTTACTTCATTGCTCGTTCATGCACCTCTGTTAAGCTGTCTGCACTCATGAAGTTCCAAGATTCTTTGGTTTTCACTTCAGAACCCAGAAAAATCTTCCCTTTTCTTCTCAGTTCATCTTATTTCAAACGCAGAACTGAAGACAGTTGTTTTTCTTTCAGTCTTCCTCCTAGTTTTTCTTCCAGTCTATCTAGGTCACTAATGTCTACTGTAATACTGCTCCCAGGTGTTATGTATTGACTTGAATGTAGATACTGACATGCGAATCGCCTGATTGAAAACCAATGTTAAGCTTCAGCCTGGGCTAGGATCCTAATGTAACCAATAGGAGTCCTAGCCCAGAGAGTGTCTACCAATCACGTTGTAAAGCGGGACCGCTTGTGATTGGGCCTTATATCTTCAACCTCATAGGTTGTTATTTGTACAGGGGGTGTGGCTACACTAGCCGGGAATGTTTAAATATCGACAAGCCAGTGTATGTAAGCTGTTCAGATGATGGATTCTGGCTGGCGATCGTTATACTGTAACTAAGCTGAAGAATAAACCGCATTCTTGCTGAAATCACTCTCCGACTCTTGTTAAGCGCCGACTTAACAATTGGCGACGAGGATGGGATACGACTGAGAGATGATATGATAACCATCTTCGAGTACTTGAAAGGCTGTTATATAGAGGATGGGGTGGAGTTGTTTTCTGTTGCCCCAGAAGGCCAGACCAAAACCAGCAGGTTGAAATTAAATCAAAAGAGTTTTCAGCTAAACATTAGGAAGAACTTCCTGACAGAGCAGTTTTTCAGTGGAACAGGCTTCCTCAGGAGGTGGTGGGCTCTCCTTCTTTGGAGGTTTTCAAACAGAGGCTAGATGGCCATTTGACAGCAATGCTGATTCTGTGAACTTCGGCAAATCACGAGAAGGGAGGGCAAGAAAAGTTGCCTCAGTGTTTAGTTCTTGTGACTCTTTCCTGCACACCCAGGAAAATGCCGATTGCCACTTTGGGGTCAGGAAGCAATTGTTCTCGAAGCCGGTTTGGCCAGGGACCCTGGAGGGGGTTTCTTCCTCTTCTGGGCATAGATCAGGGGTCACTGGGGGTGGGTGGGGGTATTGGTGAGTTTTCTGCATTGTGCAGGGGGTTGGACTAGATGACCCTGGAGGTCCCCTCCAACTCTATGATTTTATGAGAGGGGGGGGATTTCAGTGCCCCTTACCCCACCCCACCCCATCCCTTTGTCAGGCATTTGCACTCATAAGAGATCAGGTTTTTCCTCCAGTATATCATTTATTTGTTAATTTAACTTTTTCTTCCCAAGTGGGGACTCAAAGCTGCAATTTATTTTGGGACAATGTGTAGGGGAGGATCTCTCACATGCACCTCACTAACCCCTGCCAACCATGCTTTCTCCTTCTCAGTCTAAATGAGTGTTTGGCCAGTGGTCAAAAGTTGCTTCCACTCAGATCTGAGCCACAGACCTTCTTCTTTTAGAGATGAATGACTGGCTCCAAATACTGGAACAGAAGGAAGGCTTGCAGTGATTATGCTCTGTGGTTATTTACTTCCCATCAAAACATCTAAGTGAATAAATCCTTGAAAGCATATTTCCCTAGTAATCTTCCTTTTCCTGTACCAAATGTTAGACTTCAAGCTCCTTGGGGAGCAGGGACCTCTCTTCTTATTGTTACTCTATAAAAATTCATTCACATTGATGGGAGTGCATAAATATTTATGACAAAATCTGATGAAAGTATAAGCAATGAGGTAATAGACTATAAGTTCTTCCAGTCATAACTTGGGCTTTTTGTTACTTGATTTACACGCTTGTGTCACTAAAACTTTATGTCCCTAAACCTTCTGTGCATGTTTTTTGTTTGTAAAGCAATTCAGGATCTGTTTGCAAATGGAACAGTGAGTGAGAAATATCCTTCACTTATGCCACTTGGTTGGGTGCTTTTCTTGGTTTATTTCCAGCTAATCGTAGATCTCACTCAGGAGAGAGATTATCTACAGTCCCAACGGCCTCCGAGTCCACTAAAAACATCCAGCCCAGCCTCTCCCCCAAACCCGGTCAGCCGCCTCTCCAATGAGGACAAACAACATCTGTCTGTGGAGCTTGCAGACACAAAAGCGAAACTAAGAAGGGTCAGGCAGGAGCTGTAAGTATGGATATCAAGCCTGTGGTACTGCTGGAGAACTAGTACTTCTTCATGTCCTTTGGTGCTGTAGTTCATACATGAAATGTAGCTTTTCGTTTCAGTACACTGATGCTAACTAATGGTCCTACCTTCAGATATGGTACAAAGCTGTTTTTTTTTTAGAAAAGAAGATGAGCAAAACTGTGGGATTGTCTTGCCAATCTTCCTGAGAAACAATGGAGTAAAAACGTAGCAGGAGAGATAAAAGAGAGATGACATGGATGTGATGTGGTAATATAAATAGTCAAATGCAGGTCTGCAGTAGATGAGTGGCAGGGGAGATTTTCCTCGATCTGCATGTAGCTCTGCCCTAAGGCCCATTTTGCTCAGTGCAGAACTGTTCACAAAAAAACCACCCTTGCCTGTAGCACCATCATTTACCAGCAACAGCACGCATTTAATGTGTTGTGAGGATGTGTGTCTTCACCCACTGTGTTGACCAGCTGTTTCCCAGCACACATTCTCAGAAAACAAACATGAAGGTGTAACATCCGAGGCAGTCCTCTTTTTTTGCCATGCCTCTTTTCTCGACAGCCTTGATACGCTTCTAACTTCATTCTCTTCCCACTGCCCCAAGCTTTCTGCCACCCTTTGGGTTTAAGTTTAATGTTGCTTTGCACTTGGTTTGCCGCCTTTCCCCATATGCTTTTGTTGGTCTCTGGATGCAGTGGAAAGGAATGTGTGTTACGAAAGGTATAACTTTTTATGAGGTTGGAGCTAACTCCTTTTTTGTTGGCACATGGCGTCTGCCGATCTTGATAAACGAACAACAAGGAAATGAGCGTCCTGCTGTGTTTCTCATGTAGGTCTAGATCAAGATGGCTAGCCGTGTTAGTCTGTCTGTAGCAGTAGAAAAGAGCAGGAGTCCAGTAGCACCTTAAAGACTAACAAAATTTGTGGGAGGATATGCGCTAGTGAGGTCTAGATATGTTATCTGTCTATCTTGCTCATGAAGCAACAGTGGCTTCAGGGACTAGTGGTGTCATAACATTTTTAACAGACTTTCTTTACGATATCCTCAGGGAGGAGAAATCAGAGCAGCTTGTTGACACAAGAAATGAAGTAGATCAGCTAGTCCTGGAACTTCAGAAAATAAAGCAGGAGGTGAGATCTTGGTAGCTATTTTTAAACTTTTAAATTCTATTCTTGATTCTTTTTTTCTGTTTTTGATGTGCAAGCCTTTAGGTTAATCGTGTGTGTGTGGGGGACCCTGATAAAAACTGTTGAAGAGTTTTGTGTGACTCAGATGCTTGCATACCAACAGATGCCGGTCATTTTAAGATGCCTAAGTGATGACATTCTAGCTCATTGGAAACTCACAAACGTTCCAAATAGCATAAAGATATGCTGACATAGTGTTATCTAAAAGTTTTATTCAATTGTTAAGGATGTTTCAGCTTTACTTAGGAGTTTTAGTGCTGCTGCAGGAATAGTTAAGAACAGAATTAGCAAACGTCATTTATTATTCCTGAAGTAGGGTTGCCGGGTGCCCACCTGCAGTGCATGAGCACCTGCCCTCAGTCTGTTGAGCAGAGGGAGAAAAATGGGGGGGAGAATGTTGTTGCTCACGCTGTGACATCACTTGATGTGATCACCCTGAAGTGATGCCACAGCCCCTCACAGCACACGGTGCTCTAGGAATAGAAATCAGGGGAATTCCTAGAGCACTGCATGGAGGCCCAGAGTGATGTCACAGTATCGGCTCTTCCCCTCCCAGGCTCCGCCCCCAACAGCTTCTCAGGATCATGGGCATGGATCTGGCCCTGAAGTGTGTTTGGATACCACTTCTTGAGATCCATTTAAGATGCCCTTTCCCATTGTGGCAGAATGGGCCTGCTCTGGCCTCCAGGCCCTGTTCCACCCTGCCCTCTCCAACTCCTGGAGAGGCTTTTCTCTCTCTCTAGTAACCCTTCACCAACACCTGACCTTTGTAGGAATTGCCATCTGGGGGGGTCAGGATTCCCAGCTTCCCTTCCAAGTTCTGGGGCCTTGCCTCTTGTCTCCTGCTGCCCAGTGCCTTGTCACCATGGGGACTGTTTGCTGCCCTGTGTCCCCATGGAGGACTAGCCACTTGCCAACTGCCTGCCTTCTCCCTGGCACTCCTTTTAAAATAGTGTGTGGTGGATGTTTATGTGGTACAGACAACCACTACCAGCATCCAAAGTTATAAAGTATTCATTAAAGAGAAAATGTTCACAAGCATACTTTTGTCACAGCACCAGATTGAGAAAGGGGTTCAAAAGAAATGGGTAAAACACAATTCCTATGTCCCTCTCTCTATACATGGCCCTATCAGATGCTAAAATATAGGGGAGGCTCCTTAACTTAGGAAGTTACAGATCTCTACAGAATTGCCTTTACCTTGAAGCTTTCTGTAGCTCTCCAGGCCAGTGCATGGTTAATGGCTGCCTCCTCCAGACTTCAGTTAAGAGTTCTGTCTACTCTGATGGACTCAGCACCCTTCCTTCTTGCTTCCAGGAGTTTTATCACCTCTCTTTTCCCCACTCACTGACCAGGTCAGGCCAGGTCAGAGAAACGTTTCCTGAAGTCTCTCTAGTGTTTAACACCTCCAAATCTCTGTTCCCTGCTTGAAGGGTGAGGGAGGGGGAGCTTGACCATCCCATTGTCTAGACCCATTAGCATTTGTATGAAGGTGGGCTGAGGTAAGTTTGGAAAGCAATTGAACTGACTTCCCTTCTTCCTGCCCAGAGGGGGGGGGGGGACTTCTAAATCTCAGAGTGAAAGTTTTGCTCATTTCAAACCTCCAAAGAAAAAATGCATTTCTTCACACCCATATTATTCTAGGTACCAGGAAGGGAGGAGGAAGTATTCCATTTCCCACAAGCCATTAATTGATCAAATGTATAACCACCTCAAACTACACTTTGTTCCCTTTTTGTATTGTTCCCAGGAATTCAAAGGTGTCTTGCCAAGGAAGAAATGGGATGAAAAATCTGCTTAGACTATTAAGAAATAAAAAGCACAGTACTTTTTAAGAATCAAACCAACCCCACCTATAAACTTCTTTTATTTTCCTCTGTCCTGAACATAGGGAAACCCTTTATATAGAATTTAGACTATTGGTCCCTCTAACTCAGTACTGTCTAATGTAAATGGCACTGGCTCTCCAGTGTCTGAGGCAGACAAAGATCTTTGCCAGCATCTGCTACCTGAGAGAGGCGGTGTTAGATATAGCAGTGGTTATAAACAACAGAGCCTGCTGGGAGATGTAGTATTGTAGGACAGGAAGAAGAAGGGTAGAAATCTTGCCTGGGCCCAGTCTGCCCTACTGAATGATACAAAAGTTGTTGTGCTTGTTAAAGATTTACAATAAACCTTTTTTGGAATCTAAATTGTACTCAGTTGCTTGATACAACACCGAGACCCTCTTGAATGAAGATGTCAGGGATTAAACCTTGGGCTTTGTTCATGCAAAGCATGCATTTGCTTTGTCCCCCACAGCCCCTCCCTTACACTAGCCACATATCAGTTGAGGGCCTTGAATCTGTCGGTATTTGTTGACTGGAGCTCCAAAATCTGAACAGAGGTGTCCTGAGTGTATTACTCCTCTGTTGTTGTTAAGCAGCTGTTGGCAGCTTAATTAACTCAGCGGTGTGGCAGGGCTTGTCACGCATTTAGCACTGATTCCTGGATAGAAAATCCTTCTCCAAAGCTGAATGGTTGTTCAACCCAACAATTATTTTTCTGCCTCATTGGTGTGTGTCTCCCCATTTTGCGACAGGATTGGTTCTCATCCGTGCCCTTGTTTCCATCGGTGAATGCCCTTCCATCAGTGAAGCATGTTAAAAATTTCGCTGTGCTGTTTTATTTTACTCAGAACATTAACCTCATGGCAGATGCCCGTTCTGCTCGGGCCTACAGAGATGAACTGGATTCCTTAAGAGAAAAATCGAACAGAGTTGAGCGGCTTGAAATGGAGCTGGTTCGGTGTAAAGAGAAACTGCATGATGTGGATTTCTACAAAGCACGGATGGAGGCAAGTTGAGGTTTTACTAGGGCTGGGCCATTTGTCTCTCTATGGCATATTTATTTTTATTTATTTATTTTATTTTATTAGATTTTTACTCCGCCCTTCCAGCAGAGCCGGCTCAGGGCGGTTTACACCCTAATTTGACCTAATATGTCCTGAAGCGAGAGTGACCTTGTTTGGATGGGGTTGCCAGAGGATGGGAAGAGGCAGGTGCTAGCCAGAGAGGGGCAGTGATGGTTGTCGCTATGCAATCACATCATTTCCATCATGACTCCATGGAAACCATATAGTACTGGGGCGAGTACTAGGCTCCAGCGCTTCCTTGTTGCACCGGAAATGTCATCATCACACAGAGATGATGTCACTCCCCACTCCCACCTCTGGTTTGACTTCCCTGTTTTTGCTCATTGAACAGCAGGTAGCAGCCAGAATTGTGGGAATTTGCCTGCTGTAAGCAGGGACCTGGCAAACCTAATAGTGAGCTATTTTTGTAATCACATTATCGTGCCATTTTGAAAGTAAAGGTAGAGACAGGTGTCTGGATATAAGCATAGACATATAAACATGCACATTTTCTTTAAGACTCATGTTGTATGGTCAGTTCAAGTTGAACATGAATCAGCAGCGTGATGCAGATGCAAAAAAAAAAGTCTAATGGGATTTTAAGCTGAATTAATAGGAGTATAATGTCCAAATCATGGGAATTTTTTGGAACATGTTTTGAAATATGCAGAAAATTCTGGGGGAATGTGTTTATTTATTTATTTTATATCCCACCCTTCCTGCAAGTGGGCTCCGGCTCAGGGTGGATTACAAAGTTACATAAAAGTCATGACAATAACACTATCAAATTCAAATGACATAAATATTCAGAGGTTAAATTTAAGATTTAGTACTAAAAGACTGGAGAACCAGTGTGAAAGTAGCAATGCTTGGATGGAACCTTCTAGGCGGTGTTGCCTGAAATATGTAGGAAATTGTTTTATTTATTTATTTTATTGAATTTCTTTCCCGCCCTCCCCACAAGCAGACTCAGGGTGGGTTACATCAATCTCAGTCTCAATTAGTCCCGTAAGGCAAGCTTATGTTTCTACCGAGAAACTATATGAATGTGCAAGCTCTGCTTTTACTCATTTATACATTTTTATAACTGCGAAGGATAGAAACTTGATTTTTATTAATTTCCCACCCACAATAGTTGCTTGATTGAAAAAAAATGAGTATTGTTTTTAATTTGACCAATTTTCATGGGACAATAGGGTGTGTGTTTAGATTGGCCTACTGTATAATCTCAGTGTATTTATATCTAGTAATACACAACAGAGCTTTCTTAATGTATTTTCTCTTCAGAGGCAACATCAACCAGTGTAAATCTTCTACAACGTTCCTCTCCATTGAGCATTGTGCTGCTCTGGGAGACCAGATTCTTTTGGAAACTTGGGAGCTTTTGTCGGAGTCCCATTTCCAAACATGTCAACATTCCCAGAGGAGAATGAGAATGGGGCAAAATCGAACCCAGATGCCCAGCTTTAAAAAAACAACAACATATAGTTCAACACTAAAGTGCAGTGTTCTTTTGACTGAATTTAAAGATTAAAAGCTTTATGACTTATCACCCCCATCCCCAAGCTGTAAAAAGTGTACCACAAGCCTTTTTAGTTAGTTACAAAAGGAGTGGTTGATTAATGGCTTTTTTTGTTAATTAAGTGAGAGAATAAATCTTCCATGTCCACATTGTTTGTTATGTAGCTTGTCTAACACAAAGATGATTTGCAACCAAGTGTCCCTTGAGGGCATGCTGTTGGGAATCCCCCCCTTACAGCTTCAGAGTTAGTGTGGAGTAATTATTTCATTTTATTTATTTATTTAAATTTATAACCCGCCCTCCCCGCGAACGGGCTCAGGGCAGCATACAACTGGGGCCAATGCCCAATACATAAAGCATTAAAACTGCATTTTAAAAACATTCAATACAACATAAGTGCTCTCCACAATATCTAGCAAGGGAACAGATGACATTTTGCTTTAAGGGGGGAAGAAGACCTTTAATGATATGAGACAGGCCACCTTCAACAGAACTTTTATTTGGTTGGTAGAGTTTAACAGAGCCAGCCTATCCATGGATTATGCCTGCTAAGTGGAATATGAATGCTATTAAACCCCACTGTGCAGGTGGGACAGAGTTGCATTGGTATATCAGTAAGACTCCATTCGGTGGTGTGTGTGTGTGTGTGGAAATGTTGAAGAGATTGCAGAGCAGAGATCCTAGATCCCACTGATTGTGTCTGGGATACGGGACTTTTATTTCTTCCACCCCGCACTCTATTGGACCCAGATGCTATCTGGCAGTTTTGTCACCACCAATTTCTATCAATGTATGGGAACCCGTGAAGTCACCCACAGTTCAACTTGAGCATTCATTCGGCCTTTTCCTCATGGACAGCTCTTTCCTATAGAAGCCCCAAATATTGCTGTAAGTAGCAGAGCAGCACAGCAACAACAGTGCTTCTAGATGGCATCTTTCTCCACATTTTCCTGCCCCAGTCCCTGCAGCAACCCCACCCTCAGCTAAGATCCATGCACAAAACTGGCTTTGTTGCATATGTATTGTCCCTGCTTCATTGTTTTGGTACCCAGTTGACATTAAAAACACAAGTCTGGGACTGCGGGGTGGGGGGTGCGGCGCATGCTGGTTCTCTGGGTGGCTGCTTCTCTTCTCCTGCAAAACATCTTTCCCCTCCCCACCCTTGCTTGCCCAAGAGCACTTGAAACGAAGAAGGGTCTTTTGGGCAAACCCTACATGTGTGATGTGTAATTTGTTGCCGTGTTGTTGCGGCTGCTTTGATTTCATTCAGCTCATAGGCATGAGCCAGGGATGGGAGGTTGCATTCTTGTGGAACATGCAGAGAGCATTAACTTTTCCTGTCTACTTCAAAGATTTTGCAAATCTGAGTCGATGCCCTGCTATGTGTTTTTTCTGTGTACAGCTTCCGCTTTGAAAAAGGCATGGCATTTGTGATCATACAAAGTCAGACATCTGTTATTAAAATGCCTTGTATTTCTGTTACTGTCATATTAAAGTTCCTGATTCTGAAAATGTTAAGGAAACTCAACTACACGCATTTGTTAGATACTTTTTTAAAAAATTTGCAGGAGCTTAGAGAAGACAACATCATATTAATTGAAACTAAGACAATGCTAGAAGAGCAGTTGATGATGGCGAGAGCTCGTGGTGACAAACTGCATGAAGTCGAAAAGGAAAACCTACAGCTGAAATCCAAACTTCACGACATAGAACTGGTACAAAGTGATGTCCTTAATTATCAATGGAATTTTCTTATTCTAAGATGATTTTGTTGTTCAGCTGACCCTATTCCTGTAGAAGATAAACTGTTTTAGAAACAAATTGAGAAATATGAAAATACGAAGACATTAGTGGTCAACCCAATATGCATGGGCATAAAAAGGAAAAAAAAATGGTTTTCAAATTCTGTATATCTCATGGCGCTGCCCTGGAAGAAAGATGCTTACTCTGGCTAAGATTTCTTTAATTAAAAAAAAAAAACAACTCTGATGTTCCTGATTATGTATTTTCTTGCTGGAGAGCATTTCTTTTTTTTACTTGCACAAAGTGTAGATAAAATACCTTGCTTTCTAAACAGTATGGTTCAGCATACAATGTATGCTTCCGGTTTGAAGTTCTGGTATTGGGCAAAGCATATGCCTGTAGAGATGGTGCGGTCTCTGTCTCCTGCTCATGTTCTCTCTCTGCACAAAGTTCAAGCATTCCCTTGATTTTTTTATTTATTAAACATATCCAGCCTTTCCCCCTTACTCAAGGCAGCTTACAATACACAATTAAAAAATTAATAAAAACCCAAATCCTGCCCCCAACCTAAGAAAACCTAGTAATAACATGCAATAAAATGCCTGAATAAAATGTAGTAACATGCAATAAAATGCCTGAAAGCTACTGTCCATCAAAAGCTCTGTTGCATAGAACAGACTTGCAGAGCCTCCTAAATGTTTCCAAGGACGGTGCCCCTTCACCTCATCGAGGAGCCTATTTCATAAAATGGGAACAACCACAGCAAAAGCACAGCCCCTCGTTGATACCAGGCAGGCTAGGCTTAACAATGGAATAACCAGAAGGTGGCAATCTGAAGGTGATAGCGGGCGTATGGGGACATGCAAGGGGAAATAGTCCTTTAATATGTGTGTCCTGGGCCATGAAGGTCTTTAAAGGTCAATTGAACTTGGAAATAAACTGGCGTCCGATAAAGCTGTCTTGAAATTGGCAGGATGTGTTCCGATGGCCGGCCAGCCCCTTACAACAGGTGTGCTGCCATGTTCAGAACCAGCTGTAATTTTGGGTTTCCGTCATTGGCCTCCCAACTCAGACTGCATTATAGTAGTACAACCGAGAGGTTACAAAGCCATGGATCAGCTTGGCCAAGTTGGCTGCACGTCCTTTTAGTGTCACTTGTTCTCCCAGTATATAAAAAAATGTGGGTGTGACGAGGTCTCATGGTTAAAGTGTCAGACTAGGATCTGGGAGACCCAGGATTGAATCCCCACTCATGTCATGGAAACTGTGCTGGGTGACCTTGGGGCAGTCATACTCTCTCAGCCTTACCTACCTCACAAGGTTGTTATGAGGATAGAACAGAGGAGAGGAGAATGATGTAAGCTACACTGTGAGTCCATAGTGGGGGGAAAGGCAAGATATAAGTAAAGTAAATAAATTTTAAAAATTAATAAATTGATTTATTGGGAAAACAAGTGACACTAGTTTTATAATAAAAACCAAAGCTAGAATCCACATCCTTGCTGTGACAAAATGAGCAGTGATGCCCTTTGGTGACTATTATTCTTAAAGCTGTGTATGACTCCTGTATTGATTAGGTTTTATTAAGACTTCAGAGAATTAGATGTGAATTGCAAAGCTGGGCATGTTATGGCAGGTTTAGCCTATAAACATGCTGCATGGGGAAGGGGTTGGAATTTCAGGTAGTTTAATACTTGCATGGCCAAGAGAGAGATGTGATGCATTACAAGTACAAGACAAATTGAAATTTCACCTGTTTGAAGGAAGATTTAATTTTGAAGGTTTGTTGCAACCCCTTGTATCCCTGTGAGAACTCTGGTTCAGACACAAAGCGCTATGAAATTGGTGAAAGTAACAATACTTTGCCCTTGTTGCCACAGGAATTTGAAGGCACTGTAGTTGTTATCTGGGCCTAGACAAATGCTGCCATTCATGGCCAACTAGTGGTTGGTGGCCCATCTCCAGCCCTTGCTTTAAGTTTTCCACCCTTAGTTTCCTTTCTCCCTTTAGTTGTGCCATACTGGGAAAGTCAGATGCTGTGGCAGAACTTTTTGCATTTGGAAATAACCAGTCACCCAGAGCCTCTGCATTCTTGGTGACCCTTATTCCACAGTAGTAAAGGTGTTTGCCAGGCTGGTCAGCTCTGAAGGGCAAGATGTTTCTCCATCAAGCTTCTGAAGGACTGTGAGGTCATGAACAAGGAGATGGTTGATACTGTGAACTATTTGGCAGAAGAACCCACAGCTCCCTGCAAGCATCAGGTTTAAGGAACTGGCCATCATTACCTTAGTACATAGTACTACTCTTTGTAAATGTTAAGCGTGCAGGCTGGAATCATGAGTTAATAATAACCTAGGTGTGTGTGTTTCTGTGTGTCATCTCCATTAGGACAGGGATACGGACAAAAAGAGAATTGAAGAGCTTCTGGAAGAGAATATGGTGTTGGAGATAGCACAGAAGCAGAGCATGAATGAGTCTGTCCATCTGGGCAGGGAACTGGAGCAGCTGTCAAAGTGCACAGACCTGTCAGACAGTAAGAGACATGGAATGGTTTACCTCTCTTTAAACATTGCTGCCTGTCTTCCGGAAGATTACTTAAAGGTTGATATTCCAAACCAGAAGTGCACAGGGGAAGTATGAATATCATAATGGGCTGTACCCAAAAAGTGAGAATTTCCATGCTTTCATGGAGACTTTGGGACTCTCTATTAAACCTCTTAAAAGGCTTTGCAAGATCCACCAGTGCCAGCCATATTATAGGATGGTGCTCATGTTTGCTTCCAGCTGTAGCCCCTTGCTCAACATCACTAACAAGTTGTGAGGTCATGGAGTTTTGTGCCTAGAGTTCTTATAAGGGTACTCATGTGTCTCTTTTACCACATGTATGTGCGTTGAGCAGCTGCTGTCAGTCGTGGTTTAACAGTGCATGTACACATGGTAAATAGATATATGAGCATTCTTCACATGTACGTGCATGATGGTATACATGACTGTGTGTGCTTTCTACACTCGTGGAGGAATCATTCTTTTGTGAACCACAGTGAGATCAAATTCTGGGATTACAGTGCTGTCATATTCAATATATATGTAAGTGAAATGTTGCCATTGAAGTCATATGTAATGTAAAAAGAGGGACATTTCTGAAAAATGGAGGGATTGGTTAACAGGTTGTCAAAAGGGACAGTCATGAGGGACATTATCTCTTCCAGATTCTTGGAGGTTACTTAAAATTCCCATTATAGAAATTCTGATAAAATGTGTGCCACAAGTTAGAAAAGGTAAACAAAAGCAAGAAAATCATGGAAAGATCAGAAAGCCAAAATGAAACCGTGAAAAAATTACTAAGAATTTTCTATAGATATATTGATTAAACATGCAACATCAGTCAACAGGAAAATTTACATCATGAATTTCTTACAAGATGCATTACAGTCAGAAAGTAAACTGTTGCTTGATGTTGCCTGTCTAATCAATATGTTTGTAGAAAATTCTTAGTAATTTTTTCACAGTTTCATTTTGGCTTTCTGACAAGCTAGAAACGGGGCAAACTTATCTAAGAAGATGCCAGTGTCATTAACCAGTGGAGTCAAGGAAGCTCTAAATGACAAGAAGTCTTCCTTTAAAAAGAGGGAAATCCTGCCCGAATGGGGGACATAAAAAGAGAACCTACTCTGGCAAGTGCACTAGCACTTAATATTTATTTAAATACTTTCGAAAGCACAAAACCAGTCAAACAGTTAGGTCAAAAATTACGTAAAGGGGCTGTGGAAGCGGGGAGAAGGATATTTAAGAGAAACGGAAAGAATTATCTGCATTAATCTTCTGTGTTTCCCTAGTCATGTCAGTGATGGATGCCTCCAACAATGTCTTGCTACTAGCAAGGATATGCTCCCTGTGACTGGAAGGGCCCATTGGCTTCATAGTGCTGGTTTCAGAGCACAGACTGAAAGAGGTTCCTGCAATTAGTATGAAATCTTTCACGTTCACAGGCCCATTTGTGTGTAGGGTTTGTTCTCAGATGCATCTCTGTTCTTCCCCCTTTCAAACTGTTAAAATCAGGGCAACCCTATAAACAGACTGGTCAAGGCAGCTCACCTCAGGCAGCAGGTTTAGGGTATTATCAGTTAAAGAGTAGCAAGGGTCAAGTTGTTTTAATTACTTGTTACTTTTACCGATCAGGGACTGGGGCGCAATTTGGATCTCCAGCCCCCAATCACATGGGCCTGTGCCTGCATAAAAGAGCAACCAGCTATTAAAATTTATTGGAAGCTTATCTTGCAGTGACTTGCTGATCTTCCAACAATTTGCAGTGACACATCTCATTGCTGGCATAAACAGTGATTATTTAATTAACAGCTGCAGTTTTTTGAATCATGGATCTCCATTGAATAATAGCTTAAAAACATACACACAACTCTGCCTCTGTAGGTAATTGTCTAAATGCAATTCTTATCCAAGCTTCCCCTTAGAAGGGTGTACCGTCTGCTTAGGTTTGCACTGTAAATAATGGAGGGAGCCCACTTTGGATCCCCAGATTCCTTACTGAGTTTCTGTGATGGTGGCCATGTTGGTTTGTAGTAGAAGAGCTAGATTCGAGTCCAGTAGCACCTTGGAGACCAACAAGATTTGGGGGCTAAAAGCTTTCAAGAGTCAAAGCTCCTGTCGTCAGATACCCTGTGACCCACTAGACTAGTGGAGATGTAACACTCCCTATAACCACAGCCAGCTCGTCAGATACCCTGTGACCCACTAGACTGGTGGAGATGTAACACTTACTCCCTATAACCACAGCCAACAAATTAGGAATCATTCTGGAGAACATATTTTTCCTTCCCTCCTAAAAGGTTTGCCAGCTCTGATGTTAAATCCCCTAACCTAGGGTCTGAAAACGATTTAGAGCTATGGGGTCAGATCTGGTTTCAAAGGAAATTCTGGTTGTCCTTACCTGTAGTTTTTGTCTGCATTAGAGAACTGCCCTGATCTAAGGAGAGGAGGAGCTGTGAGGTTGGGTGGGGCAAGTCCTCTTCCCAATTTGCTAATCAGGGTCACAGGTCACTAGGATGATTTATTTCCTCCTTTCACTCTGGTTTGACTTCATATTTTGTTGCTTTCACTTGTAGTGGAAAATTGGAGGGGGAAATAACAGCTGAGTATGATTATGTTTTATATTGGCGTTTGCCCCTATGTAAGCCGCCCTGAGCCCGCATTGCGGGGAGGGCGGGGTATACATTGAATTAAATAAATAAATAAATAAAAATAAACAGGCAGTGAAGCAACTATATGCAGGAATGGGGATCTCCATCTTGTTCTAAAGGGGAGTGTGGTTACCTACAGTCACCTGACATGCATAGGATGGAGAAATAAGCTATAACCCTAGAAGTGGATCAGAATTTGTGATCGTGCAACAACTGGTTATTCTGAATGTTGTATTTCAACAGCAAGGAAATCTTTTGTATACGAATTGAATGAATGTGCGTCAAGTCGTATCTTGAAGCTTGAAAAGGACAACCAGAGCTTGCAAAATATCATCCAAGAGCTCCGGGATGCATCTGTTAGCACCGAAGAGAGTAACCTTAAGTTTGTTGAGCTGCAAAAGGAGAACCAACAGCTTGGCCAAAAGGTAATAAAAAGGTAGCTGCATACATGTGGTGCTGGTTGGCAGCTGTGGCTGATCTTTTCAGGAGTGTTCCCATTCTGAGTTTTACTTCTGGTTAGGACTGTCAGCTCAAGAGATGCTTTTAAGCCCAGGCTACCCTCAAATTTTCTCTCCTTTTATAAAGAAGCCCATATATACACAGCTTCATTTTTTCTGTTCCTTTCGCTGCATCAATATAAGGGGGCTTTAATTCTTAATATTTTTGTGTTCATTGGTTTGGATCCAGTGGACTGTTTTCCATGGACTCCCTCCCCTCCTTCCAAGGACTTCCATCTGCAGAAAAACTCTAATGGATCCTAGCCATGCTTCATACTGAGGATCTTGCAAATTGTATTTATACTAATTTAATGCAGTTTTATGGAGCTGCGGTGGCTCAAGTGGTTAAGACGCTGAACTGCAGGCTGTGGAAGGTCAGTAGTTCAGCGGTTCAAGACCCGGGTGCCGCAAGACAGGGTGAGCTCCCGTCTCTAGTTCCAGCTCCTGCCAACCTAGCAGTTCGAAAGCAAGAAATTGCAAGTAGATAAATAGGTACCACTTCGGTGGGAAGGTAACAGCGTTCCGTGCGCCTTGGTGTTTAGTCATGCCGGCCACATGACCACGGAAACGTCTTCGGACAGCGCTGGCTCTTCGGCTTTGAAACGGAGATGAGCACCGCAACCCTAGAGTCGGATTCGACTGGCTTTCGAGCAAGGGAACCTTTACCTTTACTAATGCAGTTTTGCATTGGATTTTTTAAAAACATGAGTATATTAGCCTTTTAGCGTGTTTGGCATATTTACAGGATATTTTGTTACATATGTATATGTGCGTACACACACACAAACATTTCATTTAACATAATAGCTGAAATAGCCAGGATATTTACAGGATATTTTGTTACATATGTACATGTGCGTACACACACACAAACATTTTATTTAACATAATAGCTGAAATAGCCAGTGGCTTAAAAACGAAGATTGGTTGACAATAATGAGAGTAAGCAGTGGACATGTTTGAGTTTCTTTTAAAGCATAAGCCTACTAGAAGAAAGAAATGAGCCTGATAGTTGCTGTCCAAAAGCCTTTCTTTGCTCTTTATCACTGTTTTTTTTTCATTGGCATTCCCTGTCTCATAATGCCAGATATATTTTTTTTGTTTCACTGTATAAGTGCCAACCGATCAGGGAGTTCAACAAAAGAATATTTTGGGTCTTGTGTGCTGCCAAAGTCCAGCCTTATCAGGAAAGGTGGCCAATTTGTTTATTTTGGGCAACTCCACCTGTTTTTTTAAGCACGGTTTGCTTACTGTGTTACATTCTGCCCTCCAGATGGCAGATAAGAATTCGTTTGTCCTTGAGTAAGTATTTTGGGATGTCTCTTGCGCCTAACTCACTTCTCTGCATTTGTTCTGCGTAGACTTTTGGCTCTTTGTATGATCTCTGTTTATATGTATATGTACTTGTGTGATTTATAGTTAGCCTTTCTTGCAGAGTCAAGAACAACATATACAATCTGTTGTGGATTCTTCTGAGATAGTTGCTAGTGCTAAGCTTCTCTAGTATAGATTTACAGGGCCTGAGGGAGAAAAGAAAAGCCTTGAAGTTAGCTTTGAAGAAGAAGAGGAGGAGGAGATTGGATTTATACCCCGCCCTTCACCACTGGCTTACAAACTCCTTTCCCTTCCCCTCCCCACAACAGACATCCTGTGAGGTAGGTGGGGCTGAGAGAGCTCTGACAGAAACTGCTCTTTTTCAAGGACAGCTCTTGCCAGAATTGTGACTTGCCCAAGGTCATCCAGCAGGTGCAAGTGGAGGAGTGGGGAATCAAACCCACTTCTCCCAGATTAGAGTCCGCGCACTTAACCATTACACCAAGCTGTCTCAGCACCCCCTTCCCATAGATTAACTAAAGAAACCCTACTTCTGTATGAGCAGTGAGTTCTACTGTGAGGCAGAGTACATCTTGTCAGATTCCAGAAGCTAAGTTGGGTTTGCCCTGGTCAGTATTTCGATGGGAGACCACTATGGAAATCCAGGGTTGCTACACAGAGGCAGACAGTGGCAAAGCTCCTCTGAACATCTCTTGCATTGAGAAAACTATGGGATAAACATAAGTCAGCTGCAAGTTGATGGCAAAAAAAAAATGTATGGGCTGATAGATTTGGATTTAAGCACATAAGAGAAGCCATGTTGGATCAGACCAATGGCCCATCCAGTCCAACACTCTGTGTCACACAACGGCCAAAAACCAGGTGTCATCAGAAGGTCCACCAGCAGATTCTGAATCAACTCTTGTATTGCAGGAAACCTAAAATGTGCATTTCAAAGCATTTTGAATTTCCCGTGCCCAGTATTCTCAATACCCTTTGGTTGTAGTGGGTTCATTCTACTCTCAAATTGTGTTTTAGTATTGTGCCTACTTAATCACAAGGGGAGAAGTTGGCCTGCAAACAGGATCCATCACTGTAAGTTATTCAAACACCTGCATTTACTTCTCTCCTCCATTTTCTTTTTTATTTTATTTAATTGGATCTATATCCTGCCCTCCCCACAAATGGGCTTAGGGCGGGTCACAACAGTTAAAATACAAACATAGGAATAAATCCAGATACAAATTCAAATTCATACAAAGTTAAAATTCCTAAAAACAGCAGCAATTGACATAAATTTTAATTTCCATTATCTATGGGCACCTCCAGTGCTGGGCATATGCTGATCAAGATAAGGACTCACTCAGCAGATGCCATGGCGATCTCTAAAGGGCAGTTCACCCAGGCAGTGGAGGCCAGAGTATTTAGACGCTTGCCTGGTGGAATACCCTTAAGGTGGCACAAGATCAGCCACAGATTGTGCAAGTCTGTTACAACTCACTTTATTATTTTTCCTTGCTACAAACTATGGAGGTGGGGAGAGAACCCTGAACATATGAAACTTGTCTTATACGGAGTCAGATTATTGGCCTTTCAAGTTCATCTAACCTGACTGGTAGCAGCTCTCCAGGGTCTCAGGCAATCTTTCACATAATCTGATCCTATTATCTAAATCTGATAGCTGAAGATCAATCAAGATGTTTGGCTGTGTTAATCTGTCTGTAGCAGTAGAAAAGAGCATATCAGATACCTGAAGAAGTTACCAGGTGTCATCAGAAGGTCCACCAGCAGATTCTGAATCAACTCTTGTATTGCAGGAAACCTAAAATGTGCATTTCAAAGCATTTTGAATTTCCCGTGCCCAGTATTCTCAATACCCTTTGGTTGTAGTGGGTTCATTCTACTCTCAAATTGTGTTTTAGTATTGTGCCTACTTAATCACAAGGGGAGAAGTTGGCCTGCAAACAGGATCCATCACTGTAAGTTATTCAAACACCTGCATTTACTTCTCTCCTCCATTTTCTTTTTTATTTTATTTAATTGGATCTATATCCTGCCCTCCCCGCAAGTGGGCTTAGGGCGGGTCACAACAGTTAAAATACAAACATAGGAATAAATCCAGATACAAATTCAAATTCATACAAAGTTAAAATTCCTAAAAACAGCAGCAATTGACATAAATTTTAATTTCCATTATCTATGGGCACCTCCAGTGCTGGGCATATGCTGATCAAGATAAGGATCCACTCAGCAGATGCCATGGCGATCTCTAAAGGGCAGTTCACCCAGGCAGTGGAGGCCAGAGTATTTAGACGCTTGCCTGGTGGAATACCCTTAAGGTGGCACAAGATCAGCCACAGATTGTGCAAGTCTGTTACAACTCACTTTATTATTTTTCCTTGCTACAAACTATGGAGGTGGGGAGAGAACCCTGAACATATGAAACTTGTCTTATACGGAGTCAGATTATTGGCCTTTCAAGTTCATCTAACCTGACTGGTAGCAGCTCTCCAGGGTCTCAGGCAATCTTTCACATAATCTGATCCTATTATCTAAATCTGATAGCTGAAGATCAATCAAGATGTTTGGCTGTGTTGATCTGTCTGTAGCAGTAGAAAAGAGCATATCAGATACCTGAAGAAGTTAGCAGTGCCTCATGAAAGCTCATACTTTCCCACATATTTGGTTAGTCTTTAAGGTGCTACTGGACTCTTGCTCTTTTCTGCTGCTACTGACAGACTAACGTGGCTACCCATCTTGATCGATCTCCATGGGAGGCACCATATTTAGCTGTACAGAATGGAAATCAATCAGCCTTGTGAAGTATCTGAAGAAGTGAGCAGTGACTCCCGAAAGCTCGTACTCTGCCACATAATTTGTTAGTCTTTAAGGTGCTACTGGACTCTTGCTCTTTTCTACTGTTAGCTGAAGGTACCAGTGATTAAATCTGGTACATTCTGCATGCAAAGAAGAAGTTCTGCCATTGAACGACAGCCCTTCCCTGGGTGGTGGCTGGCCAAATACTGGGACATGCCAAGTCAGGGCCCAAAAATATGTAAAACATGAAAGAGATGGCCAGAAATGGCAGCTGTGCTTGTAAGTGCAAGAGCAGCTGAAAAGCAGATATTAAGAATAAAAGTTTGTGGTCAGTAATATGTTTCTCCCTGCTAACCAAGAGTGAGTCAACATGAAAGCTGCTTCACTGTGGCAGCTGTTAATTCAGTATAGGAATCAGTCAGATTGCTTTTTGCTTAGATCCTTTCTTGCATGTGCAGTTGCACGCAGACAGTGGACTGATCATCATTTTCTTTCTTTTTTTAAAAAACAATAACCTGTTTCTTGGAGAGAATGAGAAAGGTTTTTGATTGTTTGAAGGTGATCCTACTGTACATTATCTAGACAGCTATTGGGCCAAAGGGTACTGCTGAAATATTGGCATATAGAAATAGCCATGCAACTTTCCAAGGATTCTGAACATTTCATCACAGCACAAAGGTAGAGGCAGATGTGTTAGCCATAGATTCTTTCAGTGAACATGTGCAGATTGATCTAGTCCTGTTTGTGCTGCAAGGGTTGTGCTTGTGTCCTGGTATAGCTGAATATCTGCAGTGAGC